CAGGTGTCTCCAGGTGTCTCCAGGTGACCACGGCCACCAACCTGGAGACACCTGGATCCAGAATATTGGGGTTCTCATGGTCCTGGAGGTTCTCAGGTGTCCTCAGGTATCTCCAGGTGTCCTCAGGTATCTCCAGGTGTCCTCAGGTATCTCCAGGAGATGGTGGCCACCAACCCTGAGGACACCTGATCAGCAGTTCTGGGGTTCTTTGAGGTTTTATGGGGTTTCTATGGATTTTTATGGAGTTTTGGAGATCTCAGATGTCCTCACCCCTCACCTGTCTCCAGGAGATGGTGGCCACCAACCCTGAGGACACCTGGACCATGAAGTATTGGGGTTTTTTGAGGTTTTATGGAGTCTGTGTGGATTTTTATGGGGTTTTGGAGATCTCAGGTGTCTCCAGGTGTCCTCACCTGTCTACTGCCCGCAGGAGATCATGGCCACCAACCAGGAGGACACCTGGACCATGAACTATTGGGGTTTTATGAGGTTTTATGGAGTCTGTGTGGATCTTTGTGAGGTTCTATGGGGTTTTGGAGATCTCAGGTGTCCCCTGTCTCCAGGAGATGATGGCCACCACCCTGAGGACACCTGGACCAGGAACTATGGGGGTTTTTTGAGGTTTTATGGAGTCTGTGTGGGATTTTATGGATTTTTATGGAGTTTTGAGGATCTCAGGTGTCCTCACTTGTTCCCAGGAGATCATGGCCACCAACCTTGAGGACACCTGGACCAGGAATTATGCGGTTTTTTGAGGTTTTATGGAGTCTGTGTGGGATTTTATAGATTTTTATGGAGTTTTGAGGATCTCAGGTGTCCTCACTTGTTCCCAGGAGATGATGGCCACCAACCATGAGGACACCTGAACCATGAAGTATTGGGGTTTTTTGAGGTCTTATGGAGTCTGTGTGGATCTTTATGAGGTTCTATGGGGTTTTGGAGATCTCAGGTGTCCTCACTTGTTCCCAGGAGATGGTGGCCACCAACCATGGGCACACCTGGACCAGCAATTCTGGGGTTTTTTGAGGTTTTATGGAGTCTGTATGGATCTTTATGAGGTTCTATGAGGTTTTGGAGATCTCAGGTGTCCTCACTTGTTCCTAGAAGATCATGGCCACCAACCATGGGCACACCTGGACCATGAACTATTGGGGTTTTTTGAGGTTTTATGGAGTCTGTGTGGATCTTTATGAGGTTCTGTGGGGTTTTGGAGATCTCAGGTGTCCCCTGTCTGCAGGAGATCATGGCCACCACCCTGAGGACACCTGGACCAGGAACTATTGGGGTTTTTTGAGGTTTTATGGAGTCTGTGTGGATCTTTATGAGGTTCTATGGGGTTTTGATGATCTCAGGTGTCCCTGACACCTTCCCTGTCTGCAGGAGATCATGGCCACCAACCAGGAGGACACCTGGACCAGCAATTTCAGGCTTTTATGAGGTTTTATGGAGTCTGTGTGGATCTTTATGAGGTTCTATGAGGTTTTGAGGATCTCAGGTGTCCCTTGTCTACAGGAGATCATGGCCACCAACCTGGACCAGCTATTTGTGGGGTTTTATGGGGCTTTTATGGAGATTTTTGGGGTTTTTTGAGGTTTTATGGAGTCTGTGTGGATCTTTATGAGGTTC